CTGAGCAACTACTAAAAATGTAAGTAAAAGAGGGCCAGGGGTGGGAGGTGGGAGGCCGGCAGGCGCAGGGAGGGTTGCTGGCACATGTGGGGCCCGGTGGGTGCCTTACCTCCCTTGGGCTGGGCCAGCTGGTGGCCCAGCCAGTGGTCTGCCTGCGCCATCTCTGCTGCTTGCCAGGTACGCCTCAGCTGGCGCAGGGGGCGGCACCACGCATGCGTGGCGCTCCCAGGCAGGGAAAGTTCTCAACTTACGACCAGTTGGGTAGACCTCGACTTATGACTGGTTGGGTAGTCCTCGACTTACGACCAGTTGGGGTCGCAGCATTAAAAAGGTTAAGAACCACTGCCCTAGATGTTTTGTTTTCCCTGATGGCATAGTGGTTAAAATGCAATACTGCAGGCTAATTCTGCTGACTTCTGCTGCCAGCAGTTTGGGAGTTCGATTTTCACTAGCTCAAGCTTGACTCAGCCTTCTATTATTCCGAGGTTGTAAAATGAGGACCCAGATTGTTGGGGATAATATGCTGACCCTGTAAACCACTTAGAGAATGCTGTAAAGCACTGAGAAGCAATATATAAATCTACATGCTATTCCTATTGCTATTTCCATTCATAAAAACCAGAAACAAGCTGACCTTTTGTCAATAAAATTTGGTTATTTTATGGTTGAATATTGGTAACAAGCTATTCAAGTCCTGGAAATTTATGCAGCCTGCATGTGGTATGTTGCCTATTTCTGCCTTAGGGCCTTGCTGGGTGTTTTTGCACTCAAAGAAAATGTTACTTCTTACTTTACAAAAGCATGGTTGAAGCATCTGGCTGATCAGTTCAAGACTTTCTTGGGGTGGGGGCTTCCTCTAGGGTCATTTGATGGTCATCCAGATCAGAACTATCAGTTCCATAACACATGGTATTCTTCCATAACTATCTGAGGGCAAAAGCAGAATTTCATATAATTTTGATTAAATTTAAGATGAGCCTTATACCATTCACTCATATTTATGTAAATTTGGGTAAATTTGTAATCTTGTGCATTGTTTTCTGTTCTGCCATTTATCCATTGGTGAAGCATGACAGAGAACTCTGAGTACATTGCTGTTAAACGACTACAAGGTTAATTCTATTGTCCTTCCCTTTTTTTTCTTGAATTATAACCTATGGCATTTTATTTATTTCAAGTGCATCTGTAACAACAGGCATTCATGAATAGTTTGAAAAATGCTATTGATGTGTCTTGCAGGAAGAGAGGTCTGAGACCATGAACACTGCTTCCTATGTTTCCTATAGCAAGCAGGAGCATTATTTTAAACAAAGTTAAATATTCAAGCTGGCTTCCTGGGAAAAAGAAAGAAGGCAGATTTTAGCCATCTCTTTGCTACCAAACAATGGAGTTTACAGTGGCTGCTCATCTTACAATGTTTTGTAAGAGATGTCTTCCCCATTAGTTTTTATGTTCACATATTCTCTGTGTGATTGTGTATGCATAAAATACACCTATAATAATTAAAATCTAAAATAATTCTAGATTATCATTTCACCTAAAGTATAAGTTCATTAGTAAAGAAAATTTTAAAATGTAGCAAGCAAATGATCAAACATTGGTATAATCAGAGGAGCCTAATAAGGATCTTTGTTGGTATAATCATATATTTTCTCATCAGCTACTCATAGTTGGATTGTGCTTTGTATTAAATTCAATTATCCTAAGCACCTAATATGCGTCCAAGAATGCTGAAGTCTTATAACTATTTTTCTATCTCTTAATTATGTTAAAATTATTCACTCCATGGACTGTCCATTCCCATTTATGATGAACAGAAACTGTCAGAAATCACTGCTCTTTAGGCAACATTGTGGCAGCCACATTTTTCCTGCTGATTTCTCTCATCCCACTTTCTGCCTCTCCTTGTCCATGTTTTCAGTTGTCAGCATTATTACCATCTTCCCCCAGTGTTGGAAGATTTCCAAATTGGGGGTTAACTAGTCATGTCTTCTCTCTCATCCTGAAAGTCTGCAGACGCCTGGCTGCTGGCTGCCTGCTTGTCATCTTTGAGCAAAAGACATTTAATAAGCACGCCAGACTCACTGGCTGTTATAGTTTACTTTAAGAAAGGGCTGGCCTTGTCAAGCTGCAGTCTCACATCAGCTTGGCCTTTCAAGGTTATCTGAGCCATTCCTGCCTCCATTTCAAAAGTGTGAGCCCTTCCCCACCATTATTGCATCCAGTCTTCGAGATTTCAAGAACAGTTTGAAGACAATGCGTGAGCATTTTCTCTTCTGCTACGCTCACAGCACTGATAACAAAGGGCAAAAATCGTTATCAAGACCTTAGCTGCTGCAAGACAGTAATCTTCTCACTGACCTCTCCCTATGAAAAAGAGGCTGAAGTAAACGCCTTTTGTCTTGCTCACATCCATTTACTTATTTCATACAATGTGCACTGTCTGGCCATTTACGGAAAAAGATCCCAGGGATTTCTATGAGAGGAAACTGAAAACGGGTCAAATTAACTTTCCCTTGAGAGGCCTGAAAACCAGAAGAAGAAGGGAGGGAGGGAGGGAGGGTTGCAAGTGAGAGGCACATTCCCCATCAATTCCCCAGAGATGGTATTTCAGAGACAGAGGACTTTACTGCAGTTTCAAATTTACGGTCACCATTGGCTCAATTTTTGAATGCTGCTGGCACTAGAGGATCACAGAGGTTCAAAGCTGCTTTCAGTCTGGTAGATTCTTTCTGTGGAAGTCTTCTAAGGTCCTGCCCTCTAGGTAGAGCCATGTGGAGAACTTTCTATTCAAATTGCACATATTGCCTTCTAACTGCAGGCTTTCCTGTCACGTTTTTGCCAGTGCCCAAAACTGAATCAAAGGTATTTTAGCAAGTGAGGTGACCAAAGTCACATGTTTTCTATTTAAGTTTTTTTCTGCCTAAAGCACCTTGCCCCAGTCTAGCGCTTCAAGTGTGCTTCACTGGAAGTATCCATCCTACACAAATTTAAGGGCAGAGAGCTTATATAGAGAGCTCCAGGTAAGGAAAACTGATTTACATACTATATCATGCCCACTCCAAGTGATCGACGAGATGGGAAGAATAACCATTTGCCTCTACTCCTTCATATATAGAAATCCTTGCTTATTTTAAGGATTTACCATTTGATACAAGGCACAAAATCAGCCTATTATATTGTCTTTAATAGCAGGTTGATGTGCAAAAAATAGCAGGGAAAAGCAATGCAGCTTATTAGGAGATATGGTTACTCCCATAGAACTGATTTTTAATTTTAAAAAAATCCAAATCTATTGTGCTAGAGAATTGCAAAAAAGGCCATTGGGAATGATGGCAATGCTCATGAAAAACTAACAAAATACATTGAGCCATTCACGTTATATTAGGACTGCAAAAATCTAAGTGACCTTTAGATGGCAGTAAAGGATTAAAGTCATCTGTACTCTCTGTTGTCACTTAGTGTTTATTTGGTTTTCTGCAGCCTAATATTTACTGCTGATCACAACTGCCAAAGCAAACAAATAAACAACAAATGGTTCAGACACACAAACTCTGTTTTGAACAATATGCTTGTCATAGACTTAAAGCACAAAGTAGTCTGAAATTTTCCTGTGATTAATCTGGATGAATGACATGTGTTAGAAGAGTCACAGCTGATATTGCCCTTTAAAACAAACCTGATCCTATAATTCCAGTGAGAAGTATCGGAAAGTACATAAAATGGTTTGCTGAACGGTAAAAAATAAGGGAGAAGTAGCTTTGTTCACAGAAATCTAACATAAAAATAACAAAAAGTTATCTTTAAATTTTTATTTAAATAAAATGAGGGTTAATAAAAGAAAAAAAATTAAATACAGTTCAAATATATACAGTGTGGTATCAAAGTATATACACAATTGACTTTTGAATCAAAATGAAAAGAATAGAGAGTCACCAATACATGTTTCATAATAAATGAAGAAAAAGCAATGGAAAAATATATCAACTCATTTATCATTTTGAATTATACAATTTCAGAATTCAAGTGATTCCAGGCAAAATGCCAAACACAGTTTGACATTTAAGAATATTGAAAACAGTCCTTCTTGTAATATAGTAACCCCAAGTTTGTTCTCATAAGACGGTCAGCAAAATTAATAGCAACATATCTATTGCATTTAATGAGATTTGTAGCCACTCATCAATGAACAAACAAGGTTCCCATAACATAATGATCTTGGTGACATCAGGCAGACAAAATGACAATATTCTTTGATCAATAGAGTTGTTTAGCTCTGTTGAAACTGAAATTAGAACTAATGCCTTAAAATAGAAGTGAAAAGTAGGACTTTTATCTCATTTGTGCCTATTCCCTTTCTGTTTTTACAAACTGTATCCAATGGCAATACATATCTTTCTGCACTATTTAACTTGGAAAACTCAGAGTTTTGGCAGTGTTTTTGTTCTCATACTTATAAGCCCAGTCTGAATGTTCAGTGCAATGCAAGCTAGAAGTAATGAATTTTGGGATCACTGTTACATACATAACTTTTTAAACTCCATGTAACATTTTCACCAATATAAGTATTTGTAAAATACTGTAACAAATTATCATAAAAATTCCTGAGCTATAGTTTGAATTCTTTCTAAAATGAATATATCATTATTTAAACCAGAAATCCAGAATGAGAAACTCACCATGTTTAAATCAACATTTTCTACTCATTATGTATCAATAAAGAGCTGCAATGATGACAGCTACAGACCAAGAGCATCTGAGTGTCCATACCACACCTGCTTTCTGTGCAGTTATATCTTAATTGGGCATTATAGCCCCTCCTCTTTTTGTGATTCATGACTTGTTCAGAATGAAAGGATGTTGAGCTGTTAAACAGAACTAAATTATCAGTTTTGTACTGATCTAGAAATTTACATCAATGTAGGATTTACTTCCACAGCCATTCTACTGGGATAAACAAGGAACAAATAAAAAATAGCAATTATTTTTGTTTGCTGTTATATACCTAGAAGTTAAAAGTTTCATGCCATTTCATTATCATGCCCCCTTCCCAATTGCTGTTCATATATCTGTATAAACTTACTTCTTCTACACAATTATACATATCTGAAAGTAAGGAATTCATTCAAGTGGGCTGCTGCTTAGTCACTCAGTGATGCAAAGATTGATTTTTGCACTTACTATTGCTGTTAGTCACTTTTAGATTAGAATGTCTCATTGAGACATTTAATAGGGTAAAATATTTGTGACATTAGTTGTCAAATTACTGATTATTCATAAGCTGAAGGAAGGCCATGATATTTCCTTCAGAGAAAAAAAAATCCTTCTCTGACTTTAGTAACCAAGCCATTCTGTTTTACATTATATTTGGGCTTATTACTTTTCTTTCAAAGTTCCAATAACATAATAATCCATCCTGGTGATGGATGGATCGACGGCAGAAGAAAAACTGATTATAATTTTTTAAAAGGTCTTCAGAGCCTGGAAATGCTAGGAATGTTGATGGATGGTTTCTGAAGAACCTTCACTACTGTCCTTGAGCAGGGCTATTTCGGTTGATTCTCCTAGTTCATCAATAGGCATTTCTTCTTCAATAGTGAGGTGAACATCTGGCAAGGAAGATTCACTGCTTCCCTCCACAGAACACAAGGTGCAGGAAAAAGCTGGTACCATGCTGTCTTGTAGCATACTGATCATCATTGGAAACTGGACAGACCTCAGTCCTGATACTGTTGGCAGAGACTTTACAGCTTGTCCCCATTTCCTCTGCTCATCTTTATAGAGCAGCAGCAAGTTAGATTTCTTTTCTTTCCTCTTGGAGTTCATATAGCCTACCATGATTCCCATTAAAAAGATTCCATAGAAGGTCATGACAATCAGGATATAAAAGTATTCATTGCTACTACGTCCATTCTTTTCAGACAGGGAAGCAACAGAGCCAGAATTTTCAACAGCCAGCATGGACTGTGTTGTGTTAGGATGATCCATTGCAAACATCAAAGCTTTTGGAAGAAGGCTGGATCCTGGAGAAAGTAAGAGATCAAGGCATGAATATCAAACAATGATGATAGAAAATTAATCCTAATGCATATGTGAATTTATAGTTATTTGTTGGTTATTGAGATATGCCAAATGATCATCTATGAACATTTGATAAGAGTTCATGGGAATTAGCTTCATAATATACATAATAAACTGTTTTGTACATCACCTAAGCTTATTCTTCCTTTATGTAACCTAGTGTTACATTGTCCACTTAGACAACTCTGAGAATCTCAGGAACAAGTCTTTAATACCAGTTGCCTGATCTTCTAAAACTGAAGACAGCAAAAATTGAATCCAGGAATATCTGCATGTACAATATGAGATCTAAGTGCTAGTGAGCCACTACTATAACTTATTATAATGCAAATCATCAGTTTTATGAAAATATGTACAGTACAGCAGCTGATAGACCTACTAGTAGATTGGAAAAGTGTTGCTTAATTTTGTTCTCTGAGCAATAATTTCACTATGCCCTGAATGAGCAGGTAATAGGCTTGAATTTGGTTCTCTTCAGTCCAAGTCCAATACTTTAATTATACTACACTGACTCTCCTTTTCCTTTTTCCCATCCTACTCAGCCTTCCCCATTAAATGTATTAAGACTAGTTGATGACATTTTACACAGCCTAAGTGCTAATGGAGATTATTGTGATTTTTGGACCATTTAGTTTAGAAACACAGAATTTTGCAAACCAAAATTTCCATTGAAGTAGTATTTCTAGTTATATCCAAATATTTCTTTACATGAGAATACATAGCAATGAATGATTGAAAAAGTACTTCTGAAATTCAAGGAGAGACAGAGTTGGTTTACAACCAAACCAGTTATTGTAGTGAAGCATCGCATAGTTTACCAACTCTGAAACAATGGAAAATTGTTATTATATTCAGTACCTTAGAATAATAATAAAAAGAAACGTTCAACAACTTACGTGAGCCTGCAAATAATTCTGTGCTTCCCAAAGCCCTAAGGAAACACTACATCTGCCGGATTCCAGAAGCTCTGAAACTTTCTCTTGCTGCTGCCAGAATTAATAGACTTGCTTGGATGAAATGTTATGCCATGTGACCCAGAGTATATAATAGTTTCATGCTAAAGTCAGCCCACAAACTGAAATGGCCTCACAGTTTTAACTGGTTAAATTCCTGACACATCTGTAAAACGAAGAACAGTGGGATGGCTGAGTCATTCTTTCCTAAACAAAGGCCAATGCTAGAAAGTTTGGACACAAAACTTGGGTCAAGCACTGACACTTTGCAGATGAATTATGTGACTTGGGCTAAACACTGCTTTGTATGCACAGTGGATTGTCATCAGCAGAAAACCCCTTTCATGGCTATGTGTAAGCACTGCTTCCTTCCTAGTACTCTTGCAGATGGCCTTTATAACTTACAGAAAAGTTTGACTTCATTTAAATTAAAGCTATCAAATCTTAAATTTAATCCATCCCTTGGATCAGACAAAAAGGCCCCCTGAGACTTGCAGGGTTAGAGTTAGGATGTTTCGGTTTACAATACTAATATAAACCATTTGATTTCATGGGATTTGTTTCTTTAGTAAAAGTGGTTAGAATGGGTATCATAAAACAGCATAAAATAGTTTGGAGTTGCAACCTGGACTACATTCCACTTAACTGTGGTTGTAAAATGGAAGGTGCTTAAGGTAATTATGAAAATAATCATGAAAATAATCAGTAGCATCTTGTATTAGACAAAATGCAGGTGATATTGCCATGGGAACCAAATCATAAGCAGATCATTCCAATAACCAACATACATTTGTATAGAAAAATATATCACAAGTATATGAAGCAGTGGACAGGGTATGTGGTAAATTTCTGAGTTATTTCCAAAATATGAACCCAAAACTTTGATTTTCAAATGTTTAATACTATAAAGGATGTGCTTCCCACAATTCCATTTTGTTTCTGAAATGAAGAATATTGGAAGGAAGACAGGGCTGTTATCTAGCTGTTTTAGTCCACTGATGAGGCACAGTTTTTACATTTTCTTACATATTAAAGCTAAGCCAATAACTCACAGTCTTTCTGCCCTGCCTGGAGAAACTGGTTTATCAGGACATAAGGGAAGGCATTCACAAGCCAAGCTGGAGCCCTGACAAGGCTATGTTGCAGACAGACAGCTTGTTCAGGGAAAGTGAGGAAAATGCCAAGTTTTGGCTTAGATACAAGAAAATTTTAGAACTTAAGCTCTTAATGAATATTTCAACTTCTGATACTTCAACTACTTTTTAATAAAATTTGATGTGCACAAAACTTGTTTATTCATAAAAGTCGCTCCCCAGTTGTTATGTATACATGCAACTATTTAGTTCAATAGAACTAGATTACTTCAACACAGTTCTAAGCAGAAATAAGCAGTGATTGGGATGTAACTGATACCCCCAAATTAGTAAATTCTTCAACAAGTATGCACAAATTTAGTTAGTTAGTTAGTTACTGAATAGCCAATATACCATTGGCTTTATTCAGGTGGTCAGTGGTTCAAACATAAAATCCACACAAGCATAAAATCTATTCCTCCAAAATGAAACTCTGGCATCATAGCATATTCTACATTCTTGTAAAATTGATTATCTAACTATGTGCCATATCAGCAATATTAAAAGGCGGGAATAAAAGGAGGGAAAAATAGTTTTCAAATCATTCATACTTTCAGTATCCACCCTCAAGAAAGATATAAAACTCAAGTCTTTGGTTGTTTTTTGTTTGTTTGTTTTTAAATAAAACAACCAGGAACACATGTTCTAAATTTTATCATCATGGAATATCATCCAACTCAAAATAATTATTAAATAGAATAATTTTTCTCTCAAGCCTATTCTAAAGCCAACCACATTGCTCAAGGATTTCTATGTTGATTATATTATTTAAAGCAAATTCAGGAAGTCGTAATTTTAAAAAAGTGATGAAAAAGTAGAATTTTTCACTTTAAATTTTAGAGACTTGGAACACTGAAAATTTAGATAACCCCTAACTTATTTCTGTTATTTATTGGTTTGTTAATAAATATATATGTGGAAATATGTGTGGGGATTGTTCCTCATCATAAAGTCACCATTATTAAATACATTGAATCAGATGGTAAATTATTGCCTAACTTAGATAATATCCATAGAGAAAAGCAAGATGAAATGAAATTTGATATTGCTGAATAACCAAGAACTGAATTCTTGACTAGTAGGAGGGTGGTTTAGATAGGAAAGAAAATCCTAGACTGAAGATTCCTTATACGAACTATAAAATGTTTGCCTCAGATTTGGATGGAATTTAGAATTCAAGGAAGCACAAATTTAAAATCTGGCATACCCTCACTCCCTTGTGGCTTAAAGCGGGTGATGAAACTTTTGGTTATAGCTTCATTCTGGGTACATCTCTTGGTAGTAATCCGATTTATCTTGCCCTGGAATGATTACTGCACAATAGCCATATTTATAATACTCTCTTATGTGTCTTAAACACTTAAATGAGATTTGTTTAATTAATCCAAATTTCTGAATGTCCCTGCCCCACAAACATTGAATCCTAAACTAGCTTTACTTTCTGGATTTGTACAACACAATTTGCTGTAAGGATGCTTGGTAGATTGTTCAATAGATTTGCCAATGAATGTGAACTGAACATGCAAACTTGTGACATGGACAGGTTTGTTAACTAATTAGAAGCCCACTTTAAAATGTCAGTATTCTAAAAGAAATCATTTTTATCCCTATTTTAAAAAAATTCCAAATAAGATCAGCAAGCAGTTCTTTGCTCTTCCCATCAAATGAGGAGGAAGAAGAACTGAAGAAGGAGTTGAAATGCTCTGGGAAGGAAGCCAGAAGCCAGGAGCAACCAGAAAACTCCCTAAAGAGTTGAAAAGGCCTATTCTACTTATAGAATAGTGTTTGTAGAAAAGTTCACTCTTTATGAAGAAATGAAAATACACCAATTTTTTCAAGTTATATGACATATTGACCATGGTAACTTATCATTAAGATCACGTCTTCAGAATAGCTTGCGCTATCTTAAATTCTCTACTGATGCTACAATATAATAACAGTGAATTTTTTAGGAACTGGGGAAGACTACTGCTTATTGGGATGAAAATGTAAGAAAAAAAGAGAGACACCCATTTTAAACAAAAATATACCAAGAACAAGCCTCCAAAGGAAACAGAATCATGAATCATTTCAAAAGAATGAGGAAGACCAAATAAAAACTAGAACAATTGAAAAAGACTTTCTTAAGTCAAAGATTTGAATAAGTTAAACATACTATATGTTACAAAAGGAAGGAAGAAGATATTAGAAATTTTAGGCATGAAAAATTGGTTAAATAGTCTAAGTGAAATAGGATAAAATAAGTATCAGAATGAAGATTATTAATAAAGATTTAATGAGCAAGAAAAAGTGATATCGTAGAGAAGACCCCTCAAATACCCTTTCCCATGCAAGCACTACATTAATCTGAATTTAGTGCAATGGCTCTATGTTCTGGCAATGCACTTGAACTACAGGAATCTGAGCCAGTCAGCAATCATTTCAGAAAAAAATATTACAAAGAAAGTTTTGCAATACTTCTGGAATTGAAGGACAGGTGATTTCCCACTGGTAGGATTTGTGATCTCATCCTGGCTTCCAGGATTTCCAGTCTTCACAGAGGTCAAGATGCCATGATGCCTTGCTATCATTACTTGTCCTCTCACCAGTCTGTGTGAGCATAGAAACATCTGTGTTCCATCTTGATTGAGCTTATTGTCACATTGTGAACAATTCACTGGGTTCTAGTGTCTCAGAGTACAATCCTAGTGGAAACTGAGGAGCTGCCAAATTCCTGCAAATGACTAGTAGATATTTGAAGAAATGTTTTAATACTTATTAGAGAATAAGTAACTTTTTCTTCTCAGTCTATCTGGTAACTTATAAAATTATTGTGAAATCTAACTTCCATGCAAAGAAACAGGAAACAGAAAGTAAGACTGAAATACTAAGAAATAAATTATCTTTAGAAATAATTTAGATTATATTATTGTAATTTTAAGACATTTTTCTTTTGGTATTAATAAAAGTGAGGATAATTTATTTTCATTGCGTAAGGAAGGTCACCAGAGTGCTTTCTCTATCTGTGGAGGGACCACAATCATGTGGAAAACTTGAATAGATGGAAGGTAGTATGAGTACTGTAGATACAGTATATAGTGCTATTATAGCTACTCCCATTCCTCTGAATATGTATAGAGAATCTTTATTTTTAATAAGTACTAAATAAATCTATTCAACCATCCATAGTAAGCTAAGATACAGACTATATAGAATGCAGAATAACTATCAGTTGTTTCTGATTGCTCCCTATTCAAAGTTATCAAGGATAAAAGAATTATGCAATATTATGCAATATTTTTTTTAAAAAAATCAGAATGATTCAGTGTAATTCAGATTATCAAATCAATTTTCACTGATTCAGGACACTTTCTATGCATATTTTAATTATTCAGATCAGTTGAATATTTTTTTAAAATGAATTCTGATCTGATTAAGTATTTGATTTCTATACCCTGTTAAGAATTAGTAATTTTTCAAAGGACAGTTAAGCTACTGGTTATCATTCTTCCAATTGAATTTTACCTTTTCTAACTGCCATTGAAAGTTTCCCAAATTAGATTAAATATGCCAAGTTCTTACCATATAAATAGAAACTTAATTCAATGCAAGAAAATTGAGTATGTTTAAATTAAGAGAGTACACAGCAGGTAGTACTGTAGTAAAAGGGGCAAAGGAGGAGGATACATTTAATTGAAGGCAAAATGGTTCTGAAAGTATTTAAAGTCGTTCTATGAGAGCCAGTTTGGTGTAGTAGTTAAAGGCACAAGATAAGAATCCAGGAGACTGTACATTTTAGTCCTACCTTAGGCACAAAGCCAGCTGGGTGATCATGGGATAGTCACTTTGTCTCAGCCCCAGGAAGGAAGCAATGGCAAACAATTTCTGAAAGACCTTGCCAAGAAAACTTCAGGGACTTGTCCAGGCAGTCTCCAAGAATTGGACATGATTGAATGTAAAAAAAAAAAAAAAAAGTTCTGAAAAGCTTCCACAATTTTTTTTCACTGAACAAACTAATTATGCAATTGCATTTTTTGTATATATTATTTTAATCGTCACAGATTATGCCTTAAAAAACAAATACACTGTATTAGGTTTTTAAAATATGAATGATGACTTTTCTAGATTAAATAGCTAGCATGGAAGCTAACCAAGAAACTATCCAAATGAAAATGAAAACTTCTCTTTTTTGCATAATAATTTGGATAAAGATAAATTCTTTTCTGCTTTTCTTTTCACTTGGCTTGCTTTATATGGTTTTCATTATTTGTACTGTAAACTGCCTTAAAGGAATGAATTAGCTAGAAAGGCAAATACCTAATAAAATATGGATGCAATTTAGCAGCTGTTTTTGTTCATTGTATTTTCAAACAGTAAATGTAAGAATTCACTCTCTGCCATAATCCTGTCTGTTTTCTGTTGATTGAAATTGCATATCAGACAAACCAGTCTAGATT